CCTCTCTACCGGGGCACCAAATGGCTCTGGGGCCCTTCGGTTCTCTCCCATCCCAGGCTGACTTCTTCAGAGACCTCCCGCACCCCCCCACCCCGGCTTGGTGCACGTGAGAGCAAGTGGGGAAAGGTTTTTACTCGTAGTGTCCTCGGAACCCAAGAATCAATGCCAGAAGCCTCTTTCTTGCTTCTCCCAGGAGGTTTAAGAGCCTTCGTAAAAAACGAACCCTAGGGATTTGCCTCCACATCGCAGAATTCCAGAGCCCTGCATGCAAATAGGTCCATCCAGCACAGACCACTCGGAGAGAAATGAAAAGCCATCTCTTCCCGAAACAAAAATGAAACACAGGAGGAGGAGGCAGCAAGCACAGGCAGTGTGAAGAATGAAAGGAAAGAGCTGAGCAAGCAAATTAAGGCCTTTTCTCTGAAAAGTAAGCCAGGCGGAGGTAGCATGCGGGCTTCTAATGCTAAAGCAGCGATTAATACCCAAAATGGAACCAGGAGGAGAGCTGAGTGCAGCAGCCCAAGATTTCAGCCTCCAGGAAAAAGTTCAGGGTGAGTGAAGGGCATTTTCCACTTAACTCCTGGTAAGGAGCACCAGTTAGATAAGGCAAAACTTTTAACAGCCACAGTTCAATCATTGATAAAATAGATAAACATATATGTATATTGCTATAGCCTAGCGTTCCGTTAAGTATGCACACATGCCATTAAGTCATAGGTGTGCTATTACTTTAAGAGTTTGTTGTTGCCTCTCTGGAAAAATCTGTGACTGACTCATCACTCATTCCTTCTCCTTAGAGAAAAATCCACAGCTCGTAGCCAAAAGGCATCACTTCCACTGGGTTGTAGACACCCACGCCGCAGATACAGGGCCCGGAAAACAAACCACACGGGTAACAAGGTAAATGGTACCGGGACTGGATGACGGGTCAGTGAAGAGCTTCATGATCCGCACCCATTTCGTCCTCTCCAAATGATCCGACCAAGTTAGACGATCTCCCCCACGGTCAATGAACATGCCCGCTCCCACACCACCCACCTGCAAGTGAGAAAGTGGCCATTGGTAATCTATTAACGTACGGAGCATGGTGGGGGTTAGTTTTTAGTTGTCACAAACACCTGACAGCACTTATGGCGTGCTGAACCCTGCTACAAACCCGTTCCAAACAGATAATGACTCACTTAATTCAACTAGGAAGTCTTTGTAAGTCCTCCCACAGCGGTCCCCTCATGCCAAGCCTGTTTGTACGTCTTCTAGGGAGGTGGGGGGTCCGCACGCTGCCACTGACAGACCCCCACTTATTTGTAATAAACACTTGGCAGACAGAAAAATTCTCAAAAGCTATTTATTAAGCTCCCAATATCCTTGGGGTGCTGTGTTGGGCACTGTAATTACAGGAAACGTTTTCGACTCTCTTTCTTTTCTGACCGCCCGGCTGGGAGACCCAGGGAGTGGGCCACGGTAACCACTCTTCATTTTTCTGGGCCATTGTAACCCTAATGAGATCCATTCTGATTGCAATTACAACGGCGCACAGCAGGTGAAGCCATATGGAGTGTGGTCATCTTGAAGCAGGAGCTGAAAAGGGGCTTTTGTCTACCCGACTCGGCACATGCATTCTCTAAAATCGGGTCCCACCTGGTCCCGCCACAGCCCTAGAAAGAATGGCGATTGTCTCAGGGCTGAAGCTTCCATCCGGGCCCACGTTACAAAAAGGAAACTAATTGCTGAGTGCCTACTGTGCGCCAGATGCTGTGCTGGGATTTTTCTCACGTCATCCCATTGACCTCTCAGCGAGCTGGCGACCAGAGGCAACGTTCGACTAAAACTAAGGCCCAGAGACGTCATCAGGCCCACCCTAGGTTGCACAGCTTGGAACATAACAGCACCATGGCCATGACAACCCCAAAGAGCCTCACTCTAATGCTTTCATGTTTTCCAATCCAAGGGAATGTTGCCATTCTAGTTCTCGTTGCCTGACTTTGAATAAACAGATGGTCATGAGAGGTTCCTTTTTCCAATGGAGGCTGGATAGACTGAGGTCTGAAAAACTCTTTGATTGCACACAATGGCTATTTTTTATCGGAACCACAGTGACTCTTCCCTTCCCTCCCCCACATCCTCCCCCCGCCCACTTCCCCCCCCCCCCCCCCCCCCCTTCCCCCCCCCCCCCCTGCCGTGGCTAACCCAGCCAATAGCACAGATAAAGAAAACTTAGAGTCCGCAGTTCAGGGTCACATTGGTCTATTAAAGCCTAACAAAGAATAAAGCTTTATGCCGAAGAAAACAGCTTTACCTTGAGTTTGTGAATTGAGAGCCTTTTGAAGGAGGCAGAGAAAACCTTTAATATTAGGCAAACCTATTATTCCATAGGCTGCAATAAAACAGTATTTAATTCTAGGTGGCCACATGGCCTAGCAGACTAATCCTCACACGAATGTGTACTAGCAAAGAAAGGGACTGAGGTTCTAAATTAGAGAATTTAATTATTGGGCAGAAACACCAATACATGACGGAACTGTGTGTGTATAAATATGGATAATGATCGATGGGAAGATGGATTATTTTCTAAAATAAAATAATTTGCGCTCGTCATGACCTCTGTGAATTCCTATCATCAAAGGGAGTTCAGGTCTTATACGTCCCAGAAGCACGTAACAACTTGCCCAGCTTTCTGCCCAAGCAGCCCCCTCTCCAAACCACGGTCTCCACTTGCAGGCTCCCCCCTGCCTGAAGCTCTGGACTAGTGTCACCACCCTCAGTGGTGGCCTTAAAGCACCCTATTTAGTCTTTGGGGGATGTGGCATCAGGTCAGCTTTTGCTGCCAGGCCCGCTGATCTTGTGCCCCTGGGCAAGAAATGGGCCCTCCATCTCACTGTCAACACTAGACTCTGAATTTCGGCAAGCGATCCCATAGCTGCGTCTCCGTTCTGAAATGCTGGGCCTCAGTCTCAGTCTTGACCTGCTCAGTACTGCAGTCTGGAAATCTGGAGACCAAGGCAGGGCCCCCCACTGGTCTCTTTTTTTTGCAGGGAGAGATGCCTGCCCTCAAACCCCAGCCCAGAGCCTGGGCCCTGTCTGTCTGCTGGCAGCCTGTCTTCTGGATGGAAGCTGTCACCATGCTTCTCTGATGCCGTGCTTCACCTGGCTTGTGGCAATCCCCTCACCCCTGTTCCACAGCCTCCTTCACACCGGGTGGGCACATTTGGGTTCAATGTCAGCAGCTCTTCCAAGCACGGCTTGGAGGCTCGCCTCTCCTAACTTTCAATATCCAGTAGAGCTGCTCCACACGGCACTGCCATGCCCAGTCACCTGGCCATGGGCACGGAGGACAAAGTGCAGCCACATAGACTGAAATATTTGGGGGGTGGGAACAAACTGCACTCTCTCTAGCATCTAGCAGAATCACTGCAACCAAACGGTTAATGGGGCCAAAGAATGTTCTGGAGAGGGTACAGTATTCCACAGACCAACTACTATAATAGCCCTTCCTGTCTACGTTCATGGGATGTGGGGAAGCCAGACAAACAGACCAGGACTATAGGTCAAGGAAGCAGTTTTCACAGCCAGCATTACAATGCCTACTGAGAAAAGAATACAAAACCACTCAAACATGCTTGGCTTTTTTTCCCCCCTTAAACATCTCCTTCTCTGTAAAACTACATAAAAAGATGATGACAATGACGCAAAATTCCAAAGAACGGACGTTTTTTAAAAAAACCTGTTGGACTACACGTATCGCGGTGAGCGCTGCGTAATACATGCAAGTGTTGAATCACTACATTGTACACCTGAAACTAATATAACACTGTCGTTACCAATACTGGAATTAAACTACAGAACTTAATTACAAAAACCTGTTGTCCTAATACCCAACGCCAAGAACAATCTATTTTTCTAGCCTTTTGTTCTCAGCAGCTGAAACCTGTTTTGGAGTGAGACGATTCAGAGCATCTTTAATGCCCAGTGAACAACTCTTTTTCCTCATCCAATATCTACTGGGTATTGTGAGAGCCCTGTCCTTCACCAGGGATGGGGACGCAGCAAGCTGATTCAACGGGAGTGAATTTAACAGCTGTTCCTGCCTTGCCCACCTACCCCACCTTTGAATTCCCCACAGACAAAGGACAAGGGACTAGACACACCTTCAAAACACTATCTTTTGGTGTGTAATTACAGATCTTACCACTTTCAAAAAGCTCTCGGGGGAGGGGAGGTGGGGGGGGGGGGACGCCCGGGTGGCTCAGTCTCTTGAGCGTCCGACTCTCAGTTTCAGCCCAGGTCATGATCTCACACGGCTCATGAGTTTGAGCCCCACATCAGGCTCCACACTGACAGTACGAGCCTGCTTCTGATTCTCGGTCTCCCTCGCTCTCTGCCCCTCCCCCCACTCATGAGTGGGCACCCGTGCACGCTCTCTCTCTCAAAAGAAACTTAAAAAAAGTTAAATTAAAAATAACAAAAGCTCTTAGGTTAATTCAAGAAAGGTAGGGGTATACCTCACCTTGATGACGAAACATTTTTGAATACTGATGAAGCAAAAACACCCCCAAAACACCCATGGACAGATAACGAGGCTCACATCTCACCTATGTCTCCATATTTATAAAATAAAGCCTTTGAACCTTTATCTTCAGAGGTAGAGATTCTGCATTTACAAGGTGGAAGGGTTTCCGATTCTTTCTGGGGAGCCACCCGGTTCCAGAATTTATTTGAATTCCAAAGGTCCAACAAGAATTGTGTTTAAAGTTGTATTGGTGGTTGAGAGGACAGGTCAGGAATGACGACCGAATATCAAGAGTTCTGGGCTGTAAAGTTCCAGGCTCTAACTTCCTGTAGCATGTCATGACCCGGGCCGATGGACAAAGCCTTCGTTAGCCCAGCACGGCAAGCCCAGTGGCCCGGTGTCTGGATGATGTCCGAAAACACGGTAAACCTGGAGAGCAGATTGAAGTCCATCCCTGAGACACCAATGACGCCTCTTCCAGAAACATCTGAGCATGCTCGCTTCTGCAGCACGTTTGCCAAAATTAGAACGATGGAGATTAGCATGGCCCCTGCGAAAGGATGACACACAAATTCGTGAAGCATTCCATACTTTGTGCCGTCTCCCCCCACCAAACCCCACCCTTTGTGGATTAGCACAGAAAATGGTGAGGCTTGGAGAGGTCGCTCAGGGTGTCTGCTCTGAGTTTGTGCCTTGCTGCTAGCAGTCAGGAGCCCCTAAGAGGCCCTCCTCGCCTCCTATTAGATCCTCTGTCACTGGACGTGAGACCCTACTTCAAAGGCCCCCTGGCATCTCCATGGCCACTCAGTCATATTTCCATTATTAGGTTACCTAGGTAATCCTGGTATCTGCATCTGAAGGCTTGTTCTCATTGGTTTAAAAAAAAAAAAAAAAAAGCACTCGAGAGACCGTGGACATCGTACTAGCTAACAGCTGCTTAGCACTTACAGTGTTCCCGGCACTGACCTATGAAACAAGATCCCAAGAATCAACCAGTAACCCAACAGTTAAACCCTAGGGAGACAGGTAAACAAGTGACGGAATATCATTCATCGTTTATTTATTTTTGAGACAGATGGAGAATCTCAAGCAGGCTCCACGAGATCAGCACCGACACGGGGCTCGAACTCACCAAACTGTGAGATCAGGACCTGAGCAGAAGTCAAGAGTAGGACACTCAACTGACTGAGCCATCCGAGCTCCCCTGCCATTCATCAGTTTAAAGTGCTTTCACGGGCACCTGGCTGGCTCTGTGGGTAGAGCATGCAACGCTTGATCTCAGGGTTGTGAGTTCGAGCCCCATGGTGGGTGTAGAGATTACTTAAAAATAAAATCTTTAAAAAAATAAGTAAAATGCTTTCAAATAGCTAGTGAAACAAGAGCATTTACTTATTGTAATATTATGTGAAAAATTCAGGACTCAGAAATATACAAATGGTGTAATCCCAACTATTTTTAAAACTAACACATGGATAGGGGGCACCTGGGTGGCTCAGTCGGTGAAGCATCCGACATTGGCTCAGGTGATGATCTCACAGTTTGTGAGTTCAAGCCCCCTCACTGGGTGAGCTCGAGCCCTGCTTTGGGCTCCAGGCTGACCGCGCAGAGCCTGCATGGGATACTCTCTCTCCCGCTCTGTCTGCCCCTCATGGGATTCTCTCTCTGCCCCTGGCTCCCTTGCGACACCCCCCCCCCCCGCCGTCTCTCAAAAATAAATTAATTAATTTAAAAAAACCCAAAAAGTCTCTTAAAAAAACAAAAAACTAACACATGGGTAGAGGTAATACCAGAAGGAGATATACCAGTAATGTTAAGAGGAGACATGACTGGCTACATACACAATAGGACCTAGTACAAAATGGAAGGGTGCGGTCCCTCTTCAAAACTTACTAAGAATATCAAGAGCAAGAGCAGAGCATTAAACCGAGTGTGGGGTCCTTCTAAGCACTGAGCCCTGTGTGACTGCATAGGTAGCGTGTCCAGGAAGCTGGCCCTGGTGCCGGGTAGGTATTTCTGGGTGTTAATATTATCAGTGATCGTTTCCCTTTTCATATTTGCCTATTAGCTCCAAGGTCTATTAAGTGAACATATGTTATTTTTATTTTTAGAAAATACAATGATTGAAAAAAAATATATACATATTTAATGACTGATATGTAAAGGAACGAACACAGGAGTGCCTGGGTGGCTCAGTTGGTTAAGCGGCCGACTCTCCGTTTCTACTCAGGTCACGGTCTCACGTTCATGAGTTCGAGCCCCTAGTAGGGCTCTACACTGACAATGCGGCGTCTGCTTGGGATTCTCTCTCTCTCTCCCTCTCTGCCCTTCCCCTGCTCGCGCTTTCTCTCTCTCTCTCACAATAAATACATTTAAAAAAGAAAAGAAGAGAGCCAACAAAAGTCAGCAGTTATCTACCTATAATCATAAAATGACACGATTTGGAACACCAGTCATACGAGGTCACAGGTGAGGATCGCATCTGGGATGTAGGAAGAGAGTGGTAATCCGGCTGGAGGGGACAAAGTCAGAAGCTGCCACAAACAGAGACGGAAGGGTAACCTTGAACCTGGCACTACGGTGATGAGACCCCAGCCGCCTGCAAAATACTTCCCTGCCCCAGTGTGGGCAGGGGTGAGTGATCAGCTGAGTGTGCAGGCAAAAAAGATGGTTAAAGCTGGTGGTCTGCTCAGCAACAAAAAATTACTCAAGTGGAGAGGAGAATCGAAGAGTCTCAGAAGCCCCGGTGACCGACCGACTCAAGGCCCAGGGCACCTCTAAGCTTGGATTCAGTATCTCTTTGCTGGTATGAGGGGAACCACACATAGTTCGCTAATTTATGTAAACGAATATTTATTGTCTGTCTCTGCCCAATTACAGTAGAAGCTCTGCAAGGACTAGAGTCTTTAACTGTTTCATTCGCTCCTGTACCCCAGCTGCTAGGAACATGCCTAGCACAGTAGGCACTCAAAAAAGTATTTGTTGAATGGCCAGTTTGGTCCAATTCCTACGTCCTTGTGTGTGAAGCAGAGAAAAGGGTCGGTAACAGGAAAGGCCAAGTCACAAGAGCAATCAGAATGGAAAAGATGTCCTTGTGTTGAACTCCAAAGGGAACATGAGGGATTCCCTCTAAATGATTCACTACCTTAATTATTCAGTGTTCATCCCAAAGGGGATGGCAGGGAGGAGTACACAACAGGGTCAGGTGTGAGCAACACACCTATCTACATCTCATTAAGATAAATCAATTCTTGGGAATTCCCCAGAACACAGCCGGTCTTTCCTCTTAGCTTCAGGAGGTGACCCCAGGCACCACACAATGTCAGGGTCATTCTGAAATTGTATTAACAATTCCTGCCACCCCATCTTCTGTGAACAGGTGGAAGAGAAATAAAGGAAAGCAATTACTGAGATGCCCAGAGCTGCGAAAGGGTTAACCACGGGCCTGGGAATGAAAAGAGGCTGTCCGGTCCCCCCACTCCACCACCACCTCCCCCCCCCCACCCCCGCGCACGGAGCAGATAATGCAGGGCCCCAATGCCAAGAGGCTTCTGTTCTACATTTCTTTGCCTAACCCCAAGCACTTGAATGAGGTAAATGTAGCCACAAAATGCTCCCCCCCCCACTTCTTTCTGGACTCCCCCTCTCACCAGCATAATAAACAGGAAATACCTCCAATGTTCCAACAGCATCAGCTGCAGGTACTTTGCCGAAGCAACCACCGGCCCTTTCGGAATCAAGAGAGAAATGCATGCACATTTCTCCTCCCTTTGCATTTTCTTTCCCAGGCAGCACTGAAGGATGCTGTTATCCCCAGGCAAAAAAAAAAAAAAAAAAAAAGCAGCTTGGAAGAATGTGGTTAGCTCCTGTGGAGAAACAGACTTTCTTCCACGCTGGCTGAAAATGCAGGGTCTGGTGAAGGGATGGAGCGGAGACTCCTACTCAGCAAAAGGCAAGAGAAAGGGAAGACCGAATTTTCCTTGACCATGGTTTCCAATTATGAATTCCAGGCTGCAAGTGGAGACGGTCTTAAGGGCCCAGCTACCCTCTGTCCTGGCCTGCAGAAGATGCCATTTGAGAGAGTGTCTCCGTGTAGGGGCAGAACTGTGGGGTACGTGGGGCACCTGGTGGCTCAGTCAGTTAAGCGTCCGACTTCAGCTCAGGTCATGATCTCACGGTTCGTGGGTTCGAGGCCCGCGTCAGGCTCTGTGCTGACAGCTAGCTCAGAGCCTGGAGTCTGCTTCGGATTCTGTGTCTCCCTCTCTCTCTGACCCTCTCTCTCTCTCTCTCTCAAAAATAAATAAAATATTTAAAAAAAAAAAAAAAGAACTGTGGGGTGCGTGCACAGGAAATGGCTCGCACGGTCTATCAAGTCACCAGACCTGGGCTTGGCCACCGAGATCCCGGGTGGCGCGCAGCAGCCGCGGGAGGACTGGAGTGCATCGGAGCCCAGCGGGTAGCCACTGTCCTGGTCTCTTTTAAAGACAAAATACAGTTTTCCCTAAGACAGCACACCTGAACTGGTAGCAGGCCAAACCACCTGCTACCAGGGAATTTGAGAAGTTAAACCCACGCGTGGAAAATATCCAGGGTTTCTCACTGCAGACAGGGAAAAACGTAGACTTCAGTGACCTATGTTAGCCAGACTAAAGTTGGCGGGGCCAGCTTCCCACCGAGGGGGCTTGTTCTGTGAACTTGGCTAAAGATGTAGCCGTAGTGTTTGTCCCTGTGAACCTTCTACTAGCTGGATGACCGCAGGCAAGTAAACAACCTCTCAGTGCTGTCATTTCCTCATCTCTAAAATGGAGGTACAATACCTAATTTATAGGGATGGTGTAAACATTAGTAATGGTATAAAGCATCTAGATCATCACAGATAGGATAGTAGTAACGCCACAGTTACTATGTGATAGAAGAGGTGAGTGAAAAGGTAATTTGGACTTGGACTTCTGCCCTTAAGTACTGCCAGTTTATATAGTATTTGGAAGAAGGGAAAACACAAGAAGATTTGAATCACCAGCGGTCTAGATGTAACACCACACACATGGGCATAACCAAAAGTTGTGAAAGAAAACTTCCCAAACGTATATTTGAGGTACAGGTGACATAGAGCTTATGATGAGCCAAGAGGTAGAAAAGGATTAAGGATGGGCACGGAGTCATGAGCTGCCCATAAGCATAACAGCAAATTTGAAAAGCGCAGTGCACAAGCTGTCCGTGACAGGATGTGGCTTTTGTGGAGGTGGAAAAGAAATGGGCGCGGGAAGGGTCGGTTAAACGTCTGACTTGGGCTCAGGTCATGATCTCGCGGTTCGTGGGTTCGAGCCCCGCATCCGGCTCTGTGCCGAGAGCTCAGAGCCCAGAGCCTACTTCGGATTCTGTGTCTCCCTCTCTTTTTGCCCCTCCTCTGCTCGTGCTCGGTCTCTCTCACTCTCTCAAAACTAAATAATAAACATTACAAAAATTAAAAAAAAAAATGAGCACGGGAAAGACCCCTGGTTTTCTAGTCACAGGGCTAGGCAGCGATGTGCAGACGCTATGCCTGCTTCTACCACGGAGCAGGCGGCCCCCATGAAGCCTTCCCTGATGCTTTCCTGC